CCTACAAGGTGTGTCTTCCAGTTTTGCATTAGTAACTGTTTTCCATCATTCAGATATTGAACAAATATATTATCTGCATATCCTCATATTTGTGCTCTATCACAAGTGCAGATAATATTGACTAGTTGCTTGTTTGTTAAGCATAACAAACATTGCAAGATGTTGATATACTAACAAGGAAATCAAGACATGTTTATCAAGTTGCCTCCCACAGCTTCTTCTGGTTACTGTTGTAGACTTATAATATTAGTCTAACAAGATAAATAAACACTCTAGCTTTTAATATACCGTATTGGAATTTTATACATTAAATTGATTGTAAATAAGACCCTAGAGGTTCTCCAAAATTGTCTCTAACAATAAGATTGAAAATATCATATTCTTAAATCAAGTAGGACTATGGCATCCCTTAGGCAGGAGAGCTAGTTGAGATTCAATCAGGTCTTATTACAGATTTTGACTTGGGATGTTTCTTGGATCTACTTCAGTTTCATCATCTTCTAGTTTGGTATGGATTCTAATCTGTTAGTGTGCCTCCTATGTGTTCATGAGCCCAATAATGATTGGGGTTGCTCGATTTGGACTATTAGGACTCGACTTCTGGGGAGCCTACTGGCTGCTTAAGGTGCTTTTAGGTTTTAGTCACTAAAATTTTGCAATGTGATACTTGCCAAGTATCTTTTGGGCCTTAAGATGCACTAACCAGTAACTTTAGTCTAGTTGGTTAACATAGTTCTGAAAATTGGTTGTTAACATGGTTTCTTGAAGAAGTAATGACTTTGAGAACTCTACGCTGATTACCTTGTCTGTTCTAAAACAATGTTGGAGTGTCATTGTTCCTTCTGAAGACCAAAATTCAACATGCTGTTTGTCCCATGGTCATTAATATGCTGGTATTTGTTTATGGATCTTGGAAAAATTGTTATTTGAGAACATTGAAGTATCTTGGCTTTCTATTTAAACTGGATCTAGGCCTAGAATAAATAATAACATATTAGAAGGCGATGTTGGATAAACAGCATGAAGTTTCATAGCTGTGGGTTATTTCTCAGATTGAAGTGCTACTTGGATAAAAGTGTACACTCCTAGTAATTCTGGATTATCAAGTTGTGAGCATATGCCTACTAAACCATGAGGCAACTTATATGTCAGCCAATTCGACCACTAAGTGTGAACTGTGTAGGAGGCAGATTCCTGGAGTAGGATGGGACTCCAATAGTTTTTCTACTGAGGACCTATGCTAAATGCAACCCAACCAAAATCCACTAATGGGGCTATTTTGCTGCCTCTCACTATATGTGTTACAGGTAAGTCAGTAATCTTTGGGATGAGAAACAATATCCATTTCTAATCATGTTGAGAATTGTTGAGCTTCAGGACTGATAACAGTAAAATTGATTGTTCTTGGTCTAATCTCCGGTCAAGCTAAAAACTTAAAGCCAACAAAATCCAAACTAAACCTATAAGCTTGATGAATACCATTAATTGCTGAAGATTGGAGGCAGATAATTTAGACCTTAGGACCCAGACTTATTCTTGGACCCCAATTTTGTCATTTTATTCTTTTGCCCATACACAACTAATTATTTTAAATTTCAAACAACTTTTTCGATATATGGGTTGTTTTTTAGGCTGCTACATCATGCTGGGATAGACATGACAAAAATTTTGTTTGAAATCCCACCCAAGGAATGCCATTTCAGGTATGGACCCATATTCCTTGCCGCGTCCGGTATGTATCGGTTGGTATTGTTATATACTGACACATCGTACATTGATACCTACTGGTGACTCAAAGATGAAGAAGAGGAAGGAACATATGATAGTGGCGGAAGAGGAGTAAGAGGAAGGAGGAAGGAAGAGGAAGGAAGAAAAGGAGCCAATGGAGAAAGAGGAGGGAGGAGGAAGAACTAAGAAGAAGCAGTGGAGGAAGAGGAGGAAGCTTACGTAGTTAGTAACATGTGGTGGGTGGTGGGGAGGTAAGCGGCATTGGGCATTAGTAGTGACTTTGTGCTCCCCATGTAATTGGAGGGGTAAACTATAAGGTTTCCTTTATAACTTTTTTAATGGGTCTTGGTTCAATCGCTTGAAACTAGAGTGGTCCATGGACTGGTTAATGTAACTGGTATGTCTCACTTGTTTCATACCATTCTAGGTGAAATGTCATTCCATGAATTTCCAACATCTCTTGATCATATTGTAAGGTGCATGGAAAGGATGAGCTATCTTCAATACATACTCCCTGGTCAAAAACAATCCCCCTGGTAGACATTTAGGATTAGATTATGCTTGCGCCTCTGACTGTAGAATAGGTTGGGTCTAGTCCTCCGGTCTTATGGTGAATAACTAAATTGTTTTTATTGGCTTTCTTTTTCTGCGTTAATTGTGTCCATTGCATGCTCTAAGTCACAGTACTGTTACTTAAACCAACTGTATGCATTAGTCCATTACTAGTGACATCAGATAAATGTTGAATGACTAGTGAATCTGGATGTCTTACAGGATGAACATCTTCTTCGTCACATTGTTAAAAACAATCTATTAAAACCAATCATCGAGGCATTCATTGAGAATGGTGATCGCTACAATATGCTGCATTCAGGAGTTCTTGAACTTTTGGAGTATATCCGGAAGGTGATCTTCCTTCTGGTTTCTTCTCTGATAGTGTTTTTGAGGATGTTTATATATTTTATTTTATAATTTCGTTTTCATGGCTATCCGAAATATATGCAGGAGAATGTAAAAGTTCTTGTCTTGTATGTAGTTGATTCCTTTTGGGATCAACTGCTGGAGTTTCAGCACTTGGGGACTGTCCAGGCCCTAAAGGTCAAATATGAGCAGGTGTGATTCTGTTTCTCAGACTGATTTTTTGATGCATATTTTAGGTTGATGTCAATTAAATTAATAATGGAAGGAAAATCATGCTACTACTTTTGATTGTTTAGATATTACTTCTACTTTTGCATTGGTTTATTCTGGTCCCTTTATCTTGTGTCAGCTGCTGGAGAATCCTGAGAATAAAAATGCTACTATCACTGTAGACCCTCGAAGAAAAACCGAGGACCGTGCTCTTGAAAAGGAGGAAGAAGACTATTTTAATGAGGACAGGTATGTTATGCTAATAATAGTAATGTTGCGTGTGTAACATAAGAGTTTAATTGGTGTGTAATCCAGTGATGAAGAAGACTCCGTTGCTCATTCATCGCATGTTCGAAACCAAAATGTACGATCAAAGCTGCCTAATGGAACCAAGGACCACCCATCTTCAAGGTATCCTTTAGCACAGTGTTATTACCTTTAAATCATTCTATTGCTGAATACTTCCATAACTTGTCACTTTTCAGTCAATTAATACAGGTAAGATGCTGTAGCAGGAGTCTTTATACATAAATTTTGTCATTATGTCAGATAAATTGTTCTAAAAGACTCGTATAATTCATTTCACAATGGAGAATGAGAAAGCTGCTGATACTTTAGTTATCAGTTTGTTTTCTAATGAAACTGTGTTCTGCATTTGGTTGTTCGACAATCTTCATTTATAGCTAATGTATATGGATCACTAATGTATGTTGTAGGTCTGGATCTGTTGGACTTGTTGACTATGATGATGATGATGACGATGACTATAATCCACCATCTAAAAAATCTGAAGCTTCTGCAGAGGATGAGGACGGTGTGGCTTTTTCCAGAATCAAGCGCAAGTCCACCACTTCGCCTGACTGCAAAGATGAGAAGCCTGAGCTAGTGAAGAAACCAAAGATGGATCTACGTGTAAATGATGCTAAGGCTGCCATCTTTGCTGCAAGTTCAACCTGCAGTGACAGCAATACAGGTAATATGAGGTCACCCCTTACCTTCTATGGATTGTATACAAAATGAAATGGATGAATTAATTATTAGGAAAAGATTCTTTGTGTCCCTAAGGTGGTATCTGTCTGAAGCTGTAGATACCAGACAGTCAAGTGGAGAGGATTGTCCGTCAGCACCTGTCAATAATTCTTCATCAGCGGGTGTTGTGAATGGCTAACCGTTCTTGGTTTGAAGCCATGTTGAGTATGATGAAGTCATAGTTTTGGCTTAATTATCAAGCAATGAACTCTCATTGCACAAGAAGTCAACAAAGGTTGCAGTAGACATTTTTAAATCTCGTTTCAAGGAGGAAGATGGACAAGAAGAATGGTCGAACCATGGCTGGATCTGGAAGGGGTGAAACAAGTCTGTAAACTGTATATTTGAAGCATAGGTCTTCTTTGGAGCAGCATGAATTATTTTCTTGCTGGCGGAGCGATGGGCCATTAGCATCAGCATGTATTTATTCTTGTTCACTTGTAGAACAGTCAGAACTTCAATACATCTTGTGAACGATGAAAGAGACCATCACTTGTTTATCAGAAAAAAAAAGAAAATTGTGGGTACAACTTAAAAATATAACTACTGTAAGGAGACCAGTTCTCTGCACTAGCTTTTTGAACTGGTGTGGAGTGTCTCAGTTCAGAGGTAATATTCAATTATGTACGGGTGACACTAGTTTCTTTCTTTTCCTTGTATTTAAAGAGTAGAATAAACCTTACTTAACTAAGGCTTCTTTTTCTCTCCATTTTAACCTGTGTATTGTCCTGGTTCTTATCAAGTCTTTTTCTTCATTGACAGACCACAGTGTGAAATTTATTTTGATGGTTTTGTACTTATGCCAACATGTTAGTTCGAGTACGATTATGACGATGCCATCGGATGACGGCCGGCCTATCGATCGAACTGCATATGGCGGCACTAACAACACTGTGACGACGTACATCGGACAACGCCAAAAAAGAATTTAATATTTTTAAAAGCGCAAATTTGGTTTATTCTACAGTGGCATGAATAACCTTTTCGAATTTACATGCTGAAATTTTTAGTCTTAAGACCTCAAATTACAAATATTGAAATGGTTTTCTCTTTTATCGTTATATTTATTATCATTAAAAATAATTATCTAATGGTAATTATTCATACTATTAGTAGTATTACACGGTTTTCCGACACGCGCTTCCTTCCGTCCCTCTGCATCGTCTAGGGTTTGGTCCTGCCCTTCTCGTCTCACAGGTACCTCGATTCGATCCTCTCGCATTCCTGTCTTACCTCTCCATCCGTTTCTTTCGGTGTTTGCTTTCTTCTTGGCGATCGATCTGAAAGATCTGAGATTACCTCTCCGTTCGTCTCTTCGCGTGTTTGTTTTCTGAAATCGATCCTTCTTTTATGCTTGTCGATGATCGATCTGAAAGATCTGGACAAGAAGATGATTACCTTTTATGCTTGTTGATGATCGATCTGAAAGATCTGGACAAGAAGATGATTACCTTTTATGCTTGTTGATGATCGATCTGAAAGATCTGGACAAGAAGATGATTACCTCTCTGTTCGTCTCTTTGCGCGTTTGCTTTCCGAAATTGATCGATTTCGTTTTTTATTTAAGAGATGGGTGCATCTCGTTCACCCCTTCGCACGTTTGCTTTCTGAGGTCGGTCGTTCATGTTTTGGTTCTTGACGAACGATATGAAAGATCTGGTTGACTAGACTGGATGAGGAGTCGAGGGGTTCCTCTCTCCTAAGAATCCGGCTTTCGAAAGTACAACTTTTCTCAACGGGACTTATTCGCTTGCTATTGTTGTTTTCTGGGGCTCGCAGTTGTGCCTTCTCTTTGTTTTATTTGCTTTCGGAGCCTTGTTCCGCTAGTCTAGATGTGTGTTGATGTGCATTTCTATGACTTGTAGGATTAAAAGATACTGATGCCTTGGTTTCTACTTTCTACTATGTTTGGTTGGCTTCCCATTCGAAATCAAGGTTTCATAGCTCGGATGTGTTTCCTCCCAATAAAATTAGGACTAGGTTTTGTTTTTTTTTTTCCAGCCATAAATTTAGGTCACCATGGAGTGGACCTCTTAAACCATTTACGTCTTTCTTTTTTTCCAGGATATTAAGAGTTACAGATCGTTCTAATTATACAGTCATAGATATGTCGAGCAAGAAGGAAGAGAAAGCGCAGGCTGCAGCTGAACGGATCAAGGCAGCGGCGCTGTCAGCTGCCAAGGGTCTTAGTCGGGCTCAAGCCGAGCGGGCTGCTGCAGCAGCAGCCCGAAATGTGAATGCCTATGGGCAGAAGGAAGAAGGACCTAGCCGATGGCAGGAAAGGAAGGAAGCAAAGCGCCAAATGTATCTGATGAGCACAGAGAAAGCTGTCAAATTGGGTGAAAGGAAGGATATCAAATCTTCCGTTTCCTCTGCTGGTGTCACCTCCCAGTGCCAGAAGTGTTATCAAGCTGGTCATTGGACTTATGAATGCAAGAACGAACGAGTCTATATTTCCCGGCCGTCAAGAACTCAGCAGCTCAAGAACCCGAAGCTGAAGATGACCCTCTCGGTGTCGTATGAATTGGACAACCCTGACATTGGGAAGGAAGTAAGGGATGAAGGGCGTGATAAGAAAGAGAGTTGGGGAAAGAATGGCACAAAGAGCAAAAGAAAACACCGATCTGGTACTGATTCGGATGAGGACAGCAGTGAGGCCTCCGTGTTTGAAACAGATAGTGAGTCTTCAGTGACTGGTTCTGAAGACTCATCCGGTGAGTCTAGCTATAGCTCCAGTTCATCTGATTCAGAGGAAAGGAGGAGGCGGAGAAAGAAGCATAAGAAAAGGAGACATAGAAGGGACAGTTCGTCTTCTGATTCGTCTGAGACCGAATCTGCTTCGGACAGTGACTCTGATGAGAAAATCAGCCGGAGGAAGAGCAGGCGACACAGCCGTAGGCGTTAGGCTGATTTCATAGGAATGGTAAGTTAACTCTTTTTATTAATGTTTGTTGTGGTTGTTCTGTTACTTATTCTGACCTTTAATGGTGATAATGTAGTGTCCAAATTATGCTTGTTTTGTATTACAGCAGTATCGTCTGAGCAAATGTTTAATACTTTTCATGTGTGGCTACATAATTAAATATATGAATTTCATCTGCTTATTTGCTTGTTAATTTGAGAAATATGTGGAAAATAAGGAATGTACTTAAATTATGCTTCTATTAGCATTTTGATGATGGTAGTTGATTTATTGGGCAATGTTAGACTATTTAGTAGTGTACTTGAGCTAACTTACTGCTGAAAGCATTATGAAGAAAATGAGATCCACATTCCCATCCATATCCTTGTTTCTCTATTTTTTTCTTTGCACTTTTTCGAGTCTTTTCATAGTGTTGCATTTTCTTGTTTTAGTTTTTTTTTTTTGGTCAATGTTCTTATCTGCGCAATCATTTTACATCTCCGTTTAAATTCTTTTCTTACTGATGATTTTCTTGTTCTTGTCTACTATGTTATTATCGATGTTCTTACCTACTTAATCATTTTTTTTCCATTTTCGTTTAAACATTACTGCTCAATTGTCTCGCAATGTCACTGATTTTCTTTTTGTTGTCTGTTTTCATGGATGTTCTTACCGCTGCTGCTGCTTATGTTCTTTTAAAGTTTTTCTGAAATTTTTAAAAGTTTTATTATTGTAATTGTTGTTTTTTTCCCCATTGTTATTGTAATCTTTTCACGATTTGTCTATGTTTCAAGTGATTTTCTTATCCGCTCAATCATTTTCGATCTGTCTAATTTTTTTTTTCTTGATCTTGTCTATGTCTTTATTGAATGCTCAATCATTTTTTCCATCTGCATTTAAACATTACTGTTCAATATTTTTGTAATGTTGTTGACTTTCTTGTTTTTGTTTGTGTTGATGTTTCTATCGGTGTCCTTACTGCCTGCTGCTTGTGTTATTTTAAAGTTTTTCTTTTTCTTATTGGCGTTCTTATTTTATGTTATTTTAAAGTTCTTACGGTGCTCTATTTTTTTGTTTAATCTTTCCATAATGTTGCTGATTTTCTTGTTTTTACCTATGTTTTCTCGATGTATTTATCGTCTCAATAATTTTCTGTCTCCATTTGGTCCAGTTTGATGATGGATACTTAAATGTCGTGTGTTTTTTTCGGTTGATGCTGTGCAACTAATCTTTTCGATGATGTTATAATTTGTTTTTGATTGCTAAAATAGTAAAACTCCCACTATTTGTTTTGAGTTCAGATGAAAGAGATGACGAGTCATCTTCACAGTTCTAATTGTCCACAGGTGTGAAGAGTAGATGGAAGCAAACTCATCACATTGGTGTCCTGATGTTGTGCGAAATAAGAGACAGTGTTGTCTTGGATCGAAAGCAGTTTTAAGATCATAAATTATGTTGGCAACTTACAATATAGGTATTTAACATAATTAATTGGAGACTAGAATGAAAATTTAGGAATATTAATCATATCGAATTCTGATTTGATGTTAATTAAGATATTACATATAGAAAAGGTATAGATATTATTATTATTATAAATAAAGATGGCAAAGCAATATCTTAGAGATAAAGAAAGATGAAATTATTGTATCTAAAATTTTTATTAGAAGAGGAGATTTGAATTGTTATAATAGGTGTCTATTTCTGATTAGATGATTGATGATCCATTCGAAAGGGATCTGATGAGGGTAATAATTACGATAAGACTCACGTGACGTTAACTGCTCCGAGTGACGTATCACGCCTATGTCAACTTGATGAGGCACCCGGTCAATGCCGACCGGAACGTCTGTTGAGGCACATTAACACCTTGCTCAGGCTCGATCCTCCACGTCATGCCAATGATAATGTCAGACGCAACCAGAAGTACGATCCTACTTCCTGCGGGCAGGCACATCATACAACGGTAATTCTCACTATAAAAACCCTCGCATACGAGAGAGAGAGAGAGAGACAACTTAGCTAAAGAAACCCCCTTTACTATCCATTGACTTGATCGTCGGAGGGGTCGGGCCGAGCACCCCGACCCGACCTTTGTGCAGGTGCGAAGCCGAAGGTCCCCACTGGACGCGCAGGCAAGGAGTTCTTGCCCGGAGGAAACGACGACCCCGTCCCGATCGGACCATCATAATCGACCACCTCAGCAGTCTCGAGGAACGTCCCAGGAAGATCCCCATCATTCGGATCCGAACTAAGCCGTGTCGGTCCCGAAACCACGGCTTAAGGTTGTTTACACTAACAGGACCTTCCTTGGATATTGGTCTAACAGCATAGCTCGACTTCTTGTTTCTTCACCCAACAAAGACATCGGTTTGCTGTCTTATCCGGGGGGAAGCAAGCAAATCCCTGTTCCCATATCCAAGCTTCTGCCACCTCGATTTCTCGTCCCTGTTCCCAAATCTCTCCTTTCGGTGGGTTTTCATACCCCCCCGGACCCCCGAAGACGCCATCCTCGTCCTCGTCGCATGATTCGCTTTCTTTCCCGGATCCCCGTTCGTTGTCCTAATGGTGTGTGGTCAGTTTCCATTCGAGCCCACTCCCTCTCACCTATATCAACGCCGCTGCTCTTGTTCGTCTTCTATGTGGTGTTCCTCGTAGCTTGCTCACTCATGATGACACAGAACCCGGCGGCGGCGGAGAGGAGGCAGAAGCGGAAGCTGTCGAACCGGGAGTCGGCGAGGCGGTCGCGCATGAGGAAGCAGCAGCGGTTGGAGTACCTGACCAGCACGGTGGTGCAGATGAGGAACGAGAAGACGCGGATGGTCGCGCTGGTCGCCGGGGTGACCCAGCAGCGGCGGCTGCTGGAGTCGGAGAACAGCGTGCTCAGGGCGCAGGCGGTGGAGTTCGCCGAGAGGCTGCAGTCGCTGAGCTCGGTGCTCCGCCTGGTGGACGACGTCCGCGGGGCGGCCATGGAGGACGTGTCGGAGATCCCGCCGCCTGTTCCTGGGCTGTGGCAGTCCCCTCTCCCGGGCGTGCCCATCTTGGCCTCGGCGGACGTGTTTGAGTGCTGCTGAGCTTACTTTGTCTTTATCGATCCTCTCTTCCATTTCTGAGTGCAGTTAGTACTTGAGATAGGTTTCATTGATTTCACAAAGTTGACCTTGTTGACACATTCTCTCTCTTCAACCAACTTGAATCTAAAGACCATCAATATATATATATATATATATATATATATATATATATATATA